CCATGGCCTCTACACACCTACATCTATCATGGAGATAGAGAGATTAAGATCAGAGATTCACTGAGATACAAGAGAAACATCTTGTCTGAATTTCACAGCTTTACTCATACTCTTGAACAGAAATTCCACCTTAACCTGAGCCAGTATAATACTCATGAGGTATAAGTAATATACACTGTCAACCTTCTTGAAGACATCTCTGCAACTACTTAGATCATCAAGAAGAGAGAGCTTGAGTGTATCAATACTGTCATGACTTGAGAAGAATTCAAGAACTTTCTACTGAATTAAATTGAAGATCACTGTAACTGCAGCTTCACAGCAGCACAGTGATTCAACTTATTATATCAATGAGATGATGAAAATCCTTTCAATTTCAATGTAAGATTTGAAGAATATTGAGAGGAATTAACTGATGATTTGAATCAATTAAAAATACAGCTTTATCTTGCAAAGCTGACTTATAAAGTGCAGACAATAATATCACAGTATCAGAGTTTATCAATCAATCACACTGAGCTTGTCAACCTGGCTTCTCAGATCTATTTGAATAATCAATTCTCTGAGAAAAAGATCAATAAGATCTCTTCTAAGTAATCAATGATAGAATCTAAACAGTGCTATGACAGCTTCAGTGCAGAGAAAGTAAAGAAGAATTTCAAGTATTCTGATTCTTCACTCACTGCAAAGAAATGTTAAAAAAGATTTGATAAAGATCTCTGTTTCAACTGTGAAGCTGATAATCACTATATCAGTGATTGTAAGAAGTTGAAGAAGAGAAGAAACTAAGAAGATATCTTCTTAAAGTTAACTCCTCTTCTGACAAATGTATCTATGAAAGATAAAGAAGAGAAAGAAAAGAATTGACAATTCTCATATCTTCAAGTTCATGTTATGATCACAATACATATCTCAAATGAGAAGATATTAGTGAGATACCTACTCAACTCTGAAGTAGATGTTAACTTCATATTCTATTTCTTTTCTTTGATGAAGAATTGAAAGAAGATAGATCTGTCAGATCATGCAAAATTTACAGATGAAATGAAATATCACTGTTTTAACATAATCTAAGCAAAGTGTGTGATCACAGACTTAGAAGAAACCTTCAAGAAGAGCAGTCTGCTCCTTCACACAGTCAACATTATAGATGAGAATGTCATTCTAGGTCTTTCATAATTGAGAGAAAACAATCCTCTCATTGACTAAGTCACTCAGATGTGATAGTACTGTCTCACTAATAAAGAGACAGTGATAGAGAAATCTGAAGAGTTTCATTAGAAGAATCTTGAGAAAAAGATTGAGTTGATATACTGCATAGCAGGTGATTGAGACTTGAAAACAGATGAAGAAGTCATCACTCTCACTGCAAGACTAGCAGCAGTATCTGTCATTGAAGATGAACATACATGATATCTCTTTACAGATTTTAAGAATGTCTTTTTGAAAAAGAAAGCAGTGAAGTTTCCTGATATCAAGATATGATATAAGATTTACCTTGAAGACAGTGCAACAGCACTGTATGAGCCTCTTTATAACTTGTCTGTAAAGAAGTTGAATGTTCTATACAAATATCTTGAAGAAGTGCAATCAAAGAACTGAATATATTTATCAAAGAGTTTGACAGAGGCATCTATACTCTTTGTGCTCAAGAAGAATGATAGACTACATCTATACATAGACTACAGAGGCCTCAATAAGATGATGATTAAGAATCACTATTCATTACTATTAATTGATGAGATAATTGATTGATTATCTGAAGCAAAGATGTTCTTGAAGATTGATATATGAGATGTCTATCATAGAATCAGAGTTAATGAAGATGATGTTTGAAAAATGACTTTTTATACCAAGTACAGCAATTTTGAATATCTTGTTTTATCTTTTAATCTTTGTAATGCTTCAGCCATCTTTCAGATCTATATAAATGAGACACTGTGAGGCCTTGTCAATATCTTCTGCATAGTATATCTGAACAACATTTTAATCTTCTCAAAATCAGAGAAAGAACATGATACTCATGTTTGAGAAGTGTTGAGTTGCTTGAGACAGCATCAACTCTATGCAAACACTGAAAAATGCTCATTCTATATACAGGAGATTGATTTCTTAGATTATATTATTGAGATAAATGACATTTCAATGAACAGAAGTCAGATCTTCATCATTGAGAACTGGCTAATGCTGTGAATGTACTGTGAGATGCAGATGTTTCTAGAATTTGCAAATTTCTACAGATGATTCATCTATACATATTCATGAATTACTGCCCTTCTTACAGATCTGTTGAAGAGAAGTGTGAAAGATAGAAAAATGAGACTGTTTACTCTCACTCAAGGCATCATGCAGGTATTTGCAGAATTGAAACAAGCTTTCACAGATGTCATAATACTGAATCATTTTAATCTCAACTTACTCAGTCAGTGTGAGACTGATACATTCAGAAATGAGATCTGTGAAATCTTTTCACAGTTGACACTGAAGACCTTTCAATGTTGAAAGAATCAGAGAATAATTATCTCTGAGAAAACAGACAATGAATTGTCTGTGAAAGAAGACTTTTTCATGAAGTCTATAAGATACTGTGAATGAAGATCAGTGATCTTCTTCTTCAAGAAGTTATCACTCATGCAGAGAAGATATGATACTCATGATCAGAAGATGTTAACAATTATCAAATTCTTTAAGATCTGACAACATTATCTTCAGAATAGTAAGTACTCAGTGTAAGTTCTCACTGATCATGCAAATCTGTGTTACTTCTTAACAACAAAGAGCTTGACAGAATGTCAAGTCAGGTGAGCAGAGCTGTTTTCAGAGTATAATTTCTATATCTGATACTGTTCAGATCAGCTTAACTCTGCTGATATACTATCTAAATAACCTGATTATAATATTGTTGATACAGAGAAGAATTCTATAAAAGAATCTCTGTCATCACTGTAGAAGAAGCTGGCTGCAGGGGATTGAGATTCTCTAAAGCTTAGAAACAGCGCTGGAGAGGCAGCTGTGTGACTCAGTATAGAAGATGAAAGAGAACCCAGGTCCCCGCAGAGGACTGACACTGAAGATCATGAGCTTCTCATATCACATCTTACAATTATTGAATTGATAAAGAATGAAACAGTCTACAATCTTTCAATCTGACTACTTTTGAAATTCATTGATAAGTTATAGAAGAAGGATGTCTCTACTACAGCTTGAATTCAGAAGTTGAAGAAGAAAGAGTTCAGTTTAAACTTGAAAGAGACAGACTCTGAGCAGAGCAGTGCTGCTAAGAAATCAAGTTACTGATAACTAGAAGAATATAAACTTCTACTGCTGAATGATTCAGTCTTTATCTCTTGTAGCAGAGCAGTGCATCAGAAGTTATTGAGAATTCATTATAATGATTCCCATGCAGAACACTTTGAATTAGAGAAGACTGAGAAGCTTCTAAAATATAAATACACTTAGAACAAGCTCTGAGCAGATGTCAAAGAGTATGTTGAAACTTGCAATATCTATCAAAGAATAAAGATTCTGCAGTATAAGTAATACAGTGAGTTAATATCACTGTCTATTTCAAAGAGCTTATGACAGAATCTATTAATGAATTTCATAGTTGATCTGTCAAAGTTAATAAGAGTCAAAGAATATGACTCAATTTTGGTCATTGTTAACTGCTTCATGAAGATAATCAGATATATCTCTACTTATAAAAAGATTAAAGCCTCTGAATTGACTGACCTGTTTTTAGATATCATCATTTGTAATCATAGTGCTCTGAAATCATTGATAATAGATTGAGAATTCCTCTTCATTAGTAAATACTGATTGACTTTTTGCTATCATCTTATAATAAGATGTCTTCTCAGTACTGCATTTCATCTGCAGACTGATGATCAGACTGAATATCAGAATCAGACACTAGAACAGCATCTTTGAGTGTTCTATTTATATCATTAGAATAATTAACTCAAACATCTTCTAATCACTGAATTTGTATATAACAATGTAAAGAATGCAATCTTAAAGATATCTTCTTTCTATACTTATTATAAATATAATTCTTCATTACTCAGTGACATCACAGACAATGTTTTAAAGAGAGGAATAGACAGTCAGAATGTCAGACAGATACAGAGAATAAAGTATCTCTCAGTATTAAAAGTAAAAGTAAGATTGAAGCTTTTGAATAAAATTCATGAGAAGATGATGAAAAGTATTCACTGTGCTCAGAAGTAGTAGATAAAATACTATAATTGAAAACATCTTCTGATGAAGTTCTTAATAGAGAATCAAGTGCTACTTTCAGCAAAGAATATCAAGATAATAAGACTGTGTAAGAAGCTCAGTGAGCAGTGACTAGAACCTTTCTCAGTAATAAGAGTAGTAAGTAAGCAGATATATGAGTTGAAATTACTCACAGAATTGAAATCAATTCATTCTATTTTTCACATTTTCTATTTAAAGCTCTATAAGCAACACTCTGAGATGAAGTCATCTCAGTCAAATGATATTGAGATTGAGAGTGATACTGAATATCTTATGAAGAAAATATTGAACAAGTAAATATATTACAGCAAGCTTCAATATCTTGTCAAATAAGAAGAATATTCATTGTCAGAGAATTCATGAAAACTGCTTAAGCATTTGAAAAATGCTGAGAAAGAGATTGCAATCTATGAGATGACTAGTAGAGATCATCTCATTACATGTCAGAGATGTTGAATAAGAAATACTGCTTAAGACTTCTCATTTTTCTTAAAGAGTTTTTTTAGAGATGATCTCACAGTGATGAGCTGATGTCTTATAGACTCTGTAGCACTCTTCTTCTATTTTCTCTCAAAGGATTTTTAGAAGTTTAATGAGACTACACAAGTGTAAAATTCCTGAAGCAGTTAGAGAAAAGAAATATTGAAAATTAATAAAAAGATTAATATTATCAATCTGTGAGCTGCTGCTATTCTAATAGAGCTGCAGCCTGCTGAAAAAGTAAAAAGAAGGATCAGAGCCTACTTACTAATAATCATACTCTCATCAAACTCATTCTTCACTATTGAAGTCTTCAGCACTGATATCTTTATCTGCTGAGAAGTTAGCACTGCAGTGCTGCAGAGAAGCATGCTGCAGAAGAGTATAAGAGATGCTGAAAGTATTAATTTATCAACTTATAAAGCATCTCAGTCATCTGCTTTAACTGAAGTGAGATTCTCTTTAATCAGTAATTGATCTCTGTGATGCTTTCAACAGCAGCATTAGCTGATCTCTTCTTGAGATCAGTCATTCTGAGGTGTTTTTTCATCTCAGAGACTCACACTTTCATCTTCTTTTACAGATGAGTAAGAGAGATCTCTTCAGCCTTGACAGAATCTGTCAACACTTAGAGCTCTGAGACTCTCACCCTGTACTGCTTGAGCATCTAGACTTCTTATCAGAACTGATATGACATCTTTCTGTGAGATAATACTTACAGAGAGACAGAAGTCATTGTTACAGATACAACAGAAACAATGAGAGTGAAAGAAGAGACAGATGTATAAAATCCCCTTCTTCTTCAGCTGCTTAACACAGCACAGACAAGTAGTGATGCCAGCCAGAGACTGCACTGGAGCCTTTCTATAGAGAGAAGATGAAGGAACTGCGGGACCCTGCAGACCCAACCCAGCAGCATCCTGAGCAGGGCTTGGGCGTGCCGCGGGAGGGGAACTATGGATTGGGCTCCTTGGAGCCACTGTCCCCAGAACCAAGCTCTCCCCGGGTTTCTCTCTGAATGACCACACGGGGTCATACATCACTGTATTGACTGAGAGGGAGGGCAGCGTCACAACAGCGGCGGGGGGGGCAGGGGACGGACCGGATGCAGATGCACTGACCGGCAGAACCGCCGCGGCTGCAAGAGAAGCAGGAGGAGGTGTGGCAATGAGAGTGGTGCTCCCGCGGCTCATTGACACCGCCGCCTCCAACCTGGCTTTCTTGGCAGCCACAGAGGCCGCCGCCGCACCACGAAGATGTTTGTTATTCACTAGAAAATGTCAGAATAAGCCCTCTACTGTCCTCCAAGGATGATACTCCCATGCACTCACTATTGCAGATGAGGGGGGGGGGGAGAAAAATGTGTCACAGGGGGGAGGGATCTTTTTGAAAAAATCCTGTCACTACTGTTAGCTTTGCCCCTAAAACACATCACTTTTGCAGGGAATTCCATACATAGAATAGAATATATTGAAAGATCTGCAAGTCACTTGTTAACTACATTTTCCACATTTCAAATTAATATATAAGAAACTCACTTATCACATGTTTGATTTGAATGATGATGAGAAAAGAAAGATCTATGCAGTCAGCAGAAAAACTCATCTATTCCTTTGTATCATACACAGTACACACACTGTCAATCAGTTGATAATCATTGCTATATAACAAAGATAATTCCTAATCCAGTAATCTTGAGAACATAGAAACTATACTCTTAAAGAGAAGGGCATTGTCATGCTCCTGACTATGTCAAGGCCTCATTGCAGTTTCACACAGCTCATTACTTTCATGCAGATGATTTCATTCTGTCTGAACTGGTTTTCAATCACTCTATGACATCATTCAGATATATTATAGAAAGATTTGATTGATGAATATGAGAATCTCATTTCTATACAAGATCAGCAGATTACTCTTTCTTGATAATAAGGTATCACTGAGGTATCACTCTGACTATTCTTGCTTGTGAAATAAAAGAAGAGTATCTGCTCATTGTCTATATAGAATAGCTAGATACTGACTCCTTATCAAAGAAGTCAGTGATTTGTTTTACTACTACTGAAATATATATAAGAGTTACTACATGCCTCATACAATCTTCTTAGTATACTAAGTATCATATCTGTGATATTCTTGCAATAATCCTGTAGTCTATGAGCTCGCTATTTAAGCAAGATAGTCAAGCTCACTTATACAGCTTCTCAAACAACTACCTCTACATGTCACTGCTGACTAGCCACTGCTTCGGTCCCGCCACGTTACAATATTGAAGTCAGAGATAAATATTGTAAGAGAAATATTTCTCTATCAGATACTCTGTAATCAATCTAACATCTTCTATTATATAACAGTGTCTTAAAACAGAATATCAAGATATTTCATAATATTATCAGATATTTATAAAACTGGTTCACATGCTTTTATTCATGAATAAAACTTCTGTTTTATACAATTCTTTAATCATTTATTAATATATTAATCTTGATTGATTAATAAACTGATGACATCTTCATCTACACTTAGTTTTATAAGCATTTTCATTCTTCATGATGAGTAGAGAGTGAGATTGAAAGTATTGAAATATATAAGAGTATCTAAGTATTCTTTCAGCACTTTTATATTTGATTCTATAGATATTGAAATTACATGAGTTAATTATTGAATCTCTTTGTATTAAAGTTATTGAGTTACATGCATATCTGCTATCTGTTGCTATTGTAATTTCAACATTGCTCAGAGTCACTGTGATATTATCTTTATACTCACACTTGAGAGTTCTCTTATATTATTGTTAGACATGATTATATTATTTTATCAGGTGTATAATATCTGAAGAAGTGTAATCATATTCTCATATATCTGAGTATCAGAACTCTTAAGTCTTTCACTGACATTCTCTTGTAAGATCTTATTATGAGGTTAGAGTAACTGATGAGTAAGCTTCTATCTAAGAACTCAGTATTCACTTAACTGTGTTTCTCTTTCTTATATGTTGTTACATATTCAGATATCTCTTAATGAATAATCATTTCTAATGAGAAGATAATATGTGAATAATCATTTCTAATAAGAAGATGATGAACATTTTTCTAGTATAAGAGATCTACACTGAATAGATTGATATTATATTGATAGGTCTTATATAACAAAGAGAAAAATGTTAGAGAAGGAAAGAAAGAGAAAGTGCAAGAATCAGTGATCAAAGTGAATATTTATACATGTATATGGTGGTGTACGCGGTGGAGCTTCAGGGCGGAAGAATATACACGTGTTCGTAGCGGCCGAGGATCGGCGATCAGAACATACACGTTCATGGCAGCCGAGGATCGGCGATCGGGAATCTGGGGCGGTAGAAATCTATGGAGTGTACGGAATAGTCTATATAATTGATCGGGCGCAGCCCGCCACAATAGTCTTGTGAATGTCATCTTTGTGAATTCTATCATTGTTAGAGAATATCAAGCTTCTGTTTCAAGCATTTAACAAGATACCTTGTTCAGATAGTCAGACAAGTTCTAATATAAGATTATAATCAAGATTATCAACTTCATATGCATAGGCATCTTCATATTGATATTCTCTTATATCTATGATCAACTTCATCATGTAATGAGTATAAATATCTTTTAAATTATCAAATTCTATGAGGAGTTGAGATTTTAATAAAGAAATATACTGAAGGTTATAATATCTTATGACTGAAGATTTTATCATTGTATAGTGGCATAGACTGCTGTCTATCATGACTTTTATATTATATATATTATCAATCACAGTAGATACAAGAATCATATTTATTACTATTTTCTCTTTAAATTGTTATTATCTGATCTCTTCAAGCTTCTATTTACAAATTTGAACAGAAGCTAATCTTTTCTCTGTTTCATCAGAACATTCTTATAGTTATCTTCTGAATCTTTCTTCACTGTAATGTGATTGACACAGACAGACACTGATTCATTCTTTGAATAAGAAGACACTGATCTTTCTCTTGATTAAGAAGATACCAGTCTTTCTCTTAAGTGTGAGAATACATAGATTGATTGATAGTTGAAAGTGATGTATTCTAATCAGTTACAGTTGATGTATACTTCATGTTGATGTTAATCAGTGACTTTCTCAGAAGTGATCTCAGAGACTCAGAAGCCTGTTTGAACAGTAGAAACTCTTACTTGTGTATAGATATTTAAATCTATTCAGTTCATGTCATCTACATTATTACTATTCTTCAGTGTGAGTGTATAAGTGACTGAAGTGTAATATCTTCTATCACTGTTCTGTATACTCTTAAGCTTGATAAGATAGTTATTCAATATTCAGAGCTGTGTGCAGAAACTCTCATAAGTCTAGTCTTTGTCTACACTTATAAGAGTCTGTAAGAGTTTGAAAGTTAATGTCTTCTTAAGTATACTAATCTTTATTTAATTCTCTCAAGATTGATTATCTACTTCTAGAATCTTGATATCAAAGTCAGAGATAAATGTTGTAAGAGAAGTGTTTCTCTGTCAGATACTCTGTAATTAATTTAATACTTTCTGTTATATAACAGTGTCTTGAAACAGAATATTAAGATATTTAATAATATTGTCAGATGTTCACAATACTGATTCACATACTTTTATTTATAAATGAAACTTCTGTTTCACATGATTCTTCAATCATTTATTGATATATTAATCTTAATTAATTAATGAACTGATAATATCTTCATCTACACTCAGTTTTATAAGTATTTTCATTCTTCATGATGAGTAGAGAGTGAGATTGAAAGTATTGAAATATGTAGAAGCATCTAAACATTTCTTCAATGCTTTTATATTTAATTGTATAGATGTTGAAATTACATGAGTTAATCATTGAATCTCTTCATATTGAAGTTATTAAGTTGCATGCATGTCTGCTATCTGTTGCTATTATAATTTCAACATTGCTTGAAGTCACTGTGATATTATGTCTATACTTGTATTCAAGAGTTTCATATGATCATTAGACATGATTATATCATTTTGTCAGATATATGATATCTGTGAAATCTGAAGAAGTGTAATCATATAAATATCTCATACATCTGAGTGTCAGAACTCTCGGGTCTTTTACTAATATTCTCTTTGTAAGATTTTATTACAGGGTCAGAATAACTGATAAGCAAGCTTCTATCTGAGAACTCAGTGTCTGCTTAACTGTTTGACTGTTTCTCTATTTCTTACACATTGTTTACATGTTTGAATATCTCAGTGAGTAATCATTTCTAATGAGGAGATAATGAATGTTTTTCTAGTGTAAGAAGTCTATACTGAATAGATTAAAATGATATTGATAGATCTTATATAACAAAGAGAAAAACATTAGAGAAGAAAAGAAAGAGAAAGTGTGAGAATCAGTGATCAGAGTGAATATTTATACATGTATGTAATGATGTACACAGTGAAGCTTCAGGGCAGAAGAATCTATACACATTCATAGCGGCTGAGAATCAGTGATTGAGAATGGCTGAGAATTGAAGTGTACATGTACACAGTGAAGCTTCAGGGTGGAAGAATCTATACGCGTTCGTGGCGGCCGAGGATCGGTGATCAAGAATGGCTGAGAATCGGAGTGTATATGTTCGAGAATGGAGTGGAAGAATCTATGAAGTGTAACGGAATAGTCTATATGATTGATCGGGCGCAGCCCGCCACATCTCTTATCTTTTAGAGAATCAGACATGTTTTTATTCTTATATCTGACTCTATGTAGTAATGTACACTACAATTTAATAGCATATCTTATTAAGAATCAAGTTCTTCTAGCCTCTTTAACTTCTGCTCTGTTCTCAATATATATAGTACTGATGATTGAACTGAGCTGTAGATGCTGAGAATTGACTAGCTGATAATCAGTCTGATTAGTTACTCTACTTTCTTTCAATACTGCAGCTAGTGATTAATCTAGCTAGTAATTATTTAACTATTCTATCTTTTTCAGTATTACAGCTAGTGATTGATCTGATCTGTGATTATTTAAATCTATCTTATTTAATACTACAGCTGATGATAGATCTAACTGATAATTATTTAAGTATCTTTCACTTCAGAATATCATAGTACTAGTAATTAATCTAGATTATAATCACAGTAATGATAAACTTATCTTATTCATACTCTTATACAAGTTTATCAGCTCTGTTACAATAATGAAGTAGAACAGATAAATTACTCAGAGTAGCTTCTATCAATCACTTCTTTTCACTGAATCAGATAAGTCTGTTAGCAGAATTAAATAACTTATCTGAGAATTCATTAATGAATCTGACTCAGAATGAACTTACTTACAAGTAACAGCTGAAAAGCACACTATTATAATTATAAAAGTCTGATGAAACACAGATAAATAGTATGAGAGTATTAAGAGTCAAGTGACACTGTATAATTATATCAAAGTGAAAGACATTCTTATAAGTATATTAGTCTGATATTATAATAATATAAAAGCAGCTCTTAACTTTACTTCAGTAGCAGAATGAAAGAATATCATTGATCTCTGATTACAGGTCTTTCACACAGATATCATAAAGAATACTAAGAAGAGAGATTTAATAGTCTTAAGCTTTCATGAATTTAACTGTCAGAACTGTACTTCTTCTGATGAAGCAGTAATACTAGATATAATTAAGAAGTTAGAACAGCTAGAAGCTTAACTGACTTAATAAGAGAATAAACTCAATGAATATGAACATTAGCTTGATCAGTGAAAGAAGCAGTTGAATAAGTATATCACTCTTATTAATGAATATATCAGCAAA